AAGCTGAAGATCAGGGAAGCAAAGCAGCCAAGCTACCAGAGAGTTCTTACCTTTTACAGAGCTGGGGCCTATTCTCAAGGTGTCTAGAGAATGAATGCTTGAGAGTGAGACCTTGCTCCTGACTTGTATACATCCCTAATGCTGGGATTAAAGGCGTGTGAGCCCAGGTGCTGGTATCAAAGGCATAAGCTGTTTCTCTTTAGGGCTGGATCAATCTCATGTATCCCTGGGTGACCTTGGACTCAGAGAGATCCAGCTATCTCTTAATCCTGAGTTTTAGGATTAAAGGTATGCCTTCTGGCTGCTGGGATGAAAGGTGTGTGCCTGGCTTCTATGGCTTGTGGCTGACTTTGCTTTCTGAATCCTCAGGCAAGCTTTAATAAATCATAAATAATATATCACTACAGATCTCTCTTCCAAGCCCATGGCAAAAGCTTTGTGATTGTGAGGATGGACTAGTAAGCACCAACAAAAAGGCTGAGCCTAAGAAGCTCATTAGAAAGATGACCATTATGCTGAACGGTCTCCTCTCTCTGTAGCTGGTGGTGGGAGACCTTGGCCCAGATGGGCAGCAGCCCCGCCTGAAGGTGCTCAAAGGACCAACGGTGCTGACCGAAAGCCCACTGCCTGCCCTGCCAGCCTCTGCTGCCACCTTCCTCATGGAGCAACATGAGCCCAGGACGCCAGCCCTGGCTCTCGCTTCAGGGCCATGTGTCTATGTGTATAAGAATCTTAGACCCTACTTCAAGTTCAGCCTGCCCCAGTTACCTCCAAACCCTCTGGAACAAGATCTTTGGAACCAAGCCAAAGAGGTAAGTGACCTGGGGAACAAGAATGCAGCTACTGAATGAGGAGGACCAGACTTTCAGAAGGGTGGGCTCACAAATGGGCCAATAGTGAGTGGTATGCCATAGCCCACCTCTGGCAGCAGCAGTGAGATGCTGTGCTTGGCCCTGAGGAATAGCTTCCAGGGAAGCACTGAACCAGGTCCTTTAGAGAGCAGAAGCCAGAGAACCTCTCTGCATTAGCCACATCCCTTCCTACCTATGGGAGAAGGGAAACCAAAGAAGGCTCTCTAGAGTGAGTGGGGGATGATCCTGGAGAGTAGGGATCTCTAGGGGAGGCAACAATAAAAAGGATGATTGGCATGAGCATAATCCTGAGACTAGATTCAAAGGTCTTGGACTTGGGGTTCGTGCCAGGCAGTTAGGAAAAAATCAGAGATGAAGGCCTGCCCCTTGTCCCCAAGACTAGATGTAGTGAACTGGCTGAAGACACGGCTTCTAGAACTTACAGGCTCTCCCTTCTCTCCATGCTGATATAGGACCGGATTGACCCCTTAACCCTGAAGGAGATGCTGGAGGACATCCGGTGAGAGCCCACTTCCCCACTTTCCACTCCTTCATCCCAAAACTCTGCTGTGAACACTCACGAAAGCCGCTATTTTGGCCACTCTCATTTCAGGGAAAAGGCGGAGGTACCTTTGTCTGTACAGTCACTCAGGTAGGAGTCCTGTGGCGGCAGGGAGAACCGGGTGTCTGGACTGGCCCCAGGGGCAGACAGGCCATGACATGCAGGTTCTAATTCTGTGTGTTTACAGGTTTCTGCAGCTGGAGCTGAGTGAAATGGAGGCATTTGTGAACCAGCACAAAGCCAAGGTTATCAAGCGGCAGGTAATGCCCTTTCTCTTTCTGTTGCCCTATGAAGGTGCGTACATTTTAAATTGTGTGTTCTTTCATGTGGTCAGGTGTGTATGTGTGCATTCATGGGTGTGGAGGCCAGAGGATGACCTCAGGGTCCAGCCTCAGGAATGCCGTCCATCTCCTTTGATATAAAGTCCCTCTTGACATAGAGCTCACCAATTAAGTTACTCTAGCCATCCAGGAAACCCCAGTGATCCAGCTGTTTCTGCCTCCCAGCACTGGTATTACAGGGACATATCACCATGTCTGGCATCTTTTGCATGGCTCTTGGGGATCAAACTCAGTTCCTACCAACAGAAGCACTTTACCAACAGAATTATATCCCCAGCTCCAAACACTCACATGAGAGAGAGAGAGAGAGAGAGAGGGGGGGGAGGGAGGGAGGGAGGGGAAGGGAGAGAAGGGAAGGAGAAAGAGAGGGAGCATACAACACCAGTAGTTAATGCTAACACTGAACCTGGCCAGTGGCACTCTACAGTTTTCCTTCCAGCCATACTACATGTCTAGGGTCTCAAAGTAGAGTACCTCTTTATTTGTAGTTAACAGGGATGGCTCTGGACAGCTGTGACATAATATTAATTATCAAACTGATTTTCTTAATGATAAAGATAATTCCATTCTTAATACAGAATATTTAGAAAATAAAGAGAAATATAAAGATGATTCCACTACATAGAGTCACCCACTTCTTACCATTTCTGTACATTTCTTTCATAAATGTACTCTTCATACTGCTTCTCTTGAATAACATTTTGAGAATACCATATTTTGAGCCTTAAATATCCTTTGAGAACTCTAATTTTAATAGGTCATTAATTTTTTAATTGGCTATTTGTGATTTCTTTCATTTGTTTGGTTTGGTTGCTTTGGGTTTGTTTGTTTTTGTTTTGTTTTTTCCTGAGACAGGGTTTCTCTGGGTAGTCCTGACTGTCCTGGAACTTGCTCTGTGCACCAGGCTGGCCTCTGTCTCCCAAGGGCTGGGATAAAAGGTATATGCCAGTATGGCCAGCTTGAATCTTCTTTTAAAAGATGATTTTGTTGCTTAGAGAGTTTTGTTTTGCTTTTGAAATAAGGTCTTGGTAGGTAGTTCTGGCTGGCCTGGAACTGGGTAACTTGATTTGTAAGCCAAGCTCACCTTGAACATGCAGTAATCCTCCTGCCTCTGTTTCCCCAGTGGTATGAAGCACATACTCAGCTCTTGGGTGTCTGGCCATGTTGATTTTGACTGTATGAATAACTCTTGAGTGGTTTAGACAACGCTCATTGTTAAGAATTTAGGTTTGTTGCAAAACTCTTTTCCATTAACATTCAGGCACGCCTCATGCTTGCTCCTCTTTTGCCCTCTTCCTTCCCTTCTCTGGTTCTGGGATGTCTGGGACCATGGTCCTTCTGCAGACAGTCATCACCACCATGACCACCCTGAAGAAAAACCTGGCTGATGAGGATGCGGTGTCATGCCTGGTGCTGGGCACTGAGAACAAGGAGCTCCTAGTGCTTGACCCTGAGGCCTTCACCATTTTGGCCAAGGTCAGTATCAGGTCTGCCCTGGCTATATACAAGGTCCAGGCTGCATTCCCTCTTGTTCTCTCAGTTGTGGGTAGTGTCATTCACTGAAGAAAAATGGGAACATGTAGTTAGGCATAAAGAAAATGATAGATGTCCCAAAAGCTTACCACTACTGGGTTAGTATGAAAGGTTTGGCTTGGATGTTTCTAGATGTTTTCATGAGTGGCATAGTTATCTGACTTGATTCAAACATTATAATTTTATACCGAGGTATATTTCTGTTCCAGTTTCATAACTGCTGCTGTGATAAAATACCCTGACCAAGAGCACCTCGGGAAAGAAAGGGTTTGATTGAATTAAAGCTCCAAGTTACAGTTTATCACTTCAGCGAAGTCACACAGCTGGTCACATCACACCCACAGTCTAGAGCAGAGAGGAAGGAACACACCTATGTTCTCTGCCTGCTTGTGCTTAATCTCCATCTGTCTTTCTTCACTCACACAGTTCAGAACCTAGCCACTGAATTGGTACTGCCCACATTCAAGGTGTGCCTTGCCACCTCAATTAACAATCAAGACAGTTGCCCACAGGCCAACCTGATCTAGGTAGTTCCTCAACTGAAACTCCTCACAGGCGAGTCCAAGTTTTTTTAAGTTGATGTTAAGTGCAAGCAATACAATATCCTTAGATAAACAGGCTAATGTATAGAATCCGACAATTTGTTTTTTTCACATTACCAGATCCCTAGGTTTTGTAAAACAGGCTAATGTATAGAATCCGACAATTTGTTTTTTTCACATTACCAGATGATATTAGTGTCTTCCCTAGGTTTACAAAAACACATCAGCCTGTTCTGTCTCCCAAGTGTATTACAGTATGTATCACCACTCCCAGCTTCATATCAGCATAGTTAAAGGCTCCACATAGCCATTCTGTATGTGGAAACACATGTAAATACATATATAGATGTACTTACCTTGCCAATGGTGTCCACGTAAATGTTTCTCATTATTATTAATGCTGCTATAGTGGTCTTCCATGTTCAAGCAAAGCAGACAAGCTTTGTATGTCTACTTAAATAATTCCGATACTTTCCTGGAGATGGCAGAGTTTAGCCAAATGGTATAGACTTAAAGCTGTGTAGGAATTTAAGCTGTGACTAATAGGAAGTGGATGAAGAGACGAGGATTTTACCCCAAGAATGAACAGTTTCTCCCAACTAGGGTGAGTACTCTTTGAACCCTTTCTCTGCAGATGAGCCTGCCCAGTGTCCCTGTCTTTCTGGAGGTTTCCGGCCAGTTTGATGTGGAGTTCCGGCTGACTGCTGCCTGCCGAAATGGGAGCATCTATATCCTGAGGAGGTAGCCACACTTGGCCTCAGAGACTGGTGGTTTCAGAGGCTTGCAGGATGAGCAGGAGGTCTGAGGGATTGGAAAGATGATGAGAATTCATCAAGGAGGTTGAATTGGTGAGGGTTGAAGGGAGGAGGAGGCTGGCAAGGTGAGAGCCTGGCACGATGGTTGTAATACATGAACGGTGCAGAGGTAGAGGAAACAGATATAATCTCTTTTTTGTTGTTGTTTTGTTTTTTGTTTTTTGAGACAGGGTTTCTCTGTGTATCTTTGGAGACTGTCCTGGAACCCTCTTTGAAGACCAGGCTGGCTCCGAACTCACACAGATCCCCCCTGCGCCTGCCTCTGCCTCTGCCTCTCTGCCTCTCTGCCTCTCTGCCTCTCTCTGCCTCTCTCTGCCTCTCTCTGCCTCTCTCTGCCTCTCTCTGCCTCTCTCTGCCTCTCTCTGCCTCTCTCTGCCTCTCTCTGCCTCTCTCTGCCTCTCTCTGCCTCTCTCTGCCTCTCTCTGCCTCTCTCTGCCCCTCTGCCCCTCTGCCCCTCTGCCCCTCTACCCCTCTGCCCCTCTGCCCCTCTGCCTCTCTGCCTCTCTGCCTCTGCCTCTGCCCCCCCCAGTACTGGGATTAAAGGCATGTGACACCACCGCCCAGCTGATATAATCTCTTGTATTTGTTATATTGTTTTATAATATAAGTGACACATGCATTAGTTTGCTATTGCAGACAGTCTTAATTCAAGACTTTTATTGAGCACCTACTATGCATTCAGCATTGTACAGGGTGTTGGAGAGACGATGATGATGGGATGCTGTGAATACGGTTCCTGCCTTCCAAGGGAAGACAGATATTAAAGATACTGAGAGTTGGATGAGTGCTTATTGAGGCTCATTGGGAAGAGAAACATCATCTGTGGTGGTAGCTTGAAGGGGGGTGCACCTGTAGTCCCAGCATTTGAAAGGCTAAGAATGGAGAATTCCTGGAGCCTGGGATTCTGTACCTACTTTGGCCAGAGCAAGAGCCCAGAAGCCAGTGGAGACTCAGAGTCATTAGATGGCCTGAAGAAAAGTGGGTCACAGCCTATGCTTGAAATTAGTGGGTAATTTCTGGAAAAGGAAATTACATATACAAATGCATATATAGATGTACTTACCTTGACTTGGTGTCTACTGAAATGTTTCTAATTATTATTAATGCTGCTACAGTGGTCTTCCCTGTTCAAATAAATCAGACAAGCTTTGTATGTCTACTTAAATGATTCCGCTAACTTTGTAGAGGCGGCAGAGTTTAGCCAAATAGTATAGACTTAAAGCTGTGGCTAATAGGAAGTGGATGAAGAGACTATGATTTTAACCAAGAATATACAATTTCTTCTGGAAAAGAAGAACTAAGATGGAGAGACAGGAAAACTGAAGGTGGCATCAATGGTAAATGTACCATACTTTCCTGATAAGCCAGTAAACTTCCCAAGTCTAATAACACTGGCTAGACTATTCTAAGGTAAACGTATTCACAATTCTGAAATCCTAGGCTGTTATATTTGTCACCATTGTGAAGGGCAGGAGGGGACAGAGTGGGAAAACATTAAGGTCACACATATACAAAGTGGTAGATGGAGAAATAACTCCATTATCTACTCAGGACCAGGGTTGCTTTCAGGGTAATCTGGGGTTGCTTAGAAGGGATGGATCAGCCAGAGAAATAGAGGCAAGGCTTCTGTGTGTTTATTCCACAGAGACTCCAAACACCCCAAGTATTGCATCGAGTTGAGTGCCCAGCCTGTGGGGCTGGTCCGGGTATACAAGACCCTGGTGGTGGGCAGCACCCAGGAGAGTCTGCATGGCTTCACCCACAAGGTGTGGTCTCTGGCAAGCCCCTCCCCCTCCCCTGTGATCCTAAAGCTTTCCCTCCCTGCTGCTCCAGCTACCCTTTCTTTCCACTTGAAGCCCTGAGCTCCCCAGACACACTGGTTGTGTTTTGCTAGGGTAAGAAGCTGTGGACAGTGCAGATGCCTGCAGCCATCCTGACCATGAACCTCCTGGAGCAGCGTTCCCGGGGCCTGCAAGCAGTCATGGCTGCTCTGGCCAATGGAGAAGTCCGAATTTACCGTGACAAGGCCCTGCTTAATGTCATCCATGCCCCTGTGAGCATACCTCCAGCATTGCCCCAGCTCTTCCTTACCCCAGACCTATATTTTTTCATTTTATAGTTTTTTATTTAGTCTTTGACAATTTTGTACATGTATGTAGTTGATCTCACTCACCCACATCCGCCTTTTAACTCCCCAACTCCCCCTGATACTGCTTCCCCAGCAGGTCTCTTCTACTTTCATGTCTTTATTTTTTTTAATAATGTACTGAGTTTAATTAGGGCTGTTGGCATGTATATGTGGTAGGTGTACTTACGGAATCATGACCAACTTACCAGTGGCTACACCTCTGAAGAAAAATGATTCCCCTACTTCCGGCAGCTATTGACTGCCAATTGCTCCTTAGCTTGGGTGCAGCCTCATCAGCCCTTCCCCCACCCATCTAGCCCTGCTTCTTCACTGCCTTTCCTGACCCCATAGGGACAAGTTTCACAAGTACTGGTTGAACCCATCATGGTGTGTACAGTTGCTACATGAAGGGTAGCAAAGTTTGCCAAGTAGATGAATGTCAGAGGAACATTCTAGACCAGGAACAGCATGAACAAAGGCTGAGGGACATACAAGTTTTTTTTTTTTTTTTTTTTTTCTTTTTTTTTTTTGAGACAGGGTCTGGCTGGCCTGGAATTCACTGTATGGACCAAGCTGGCCTCTTAACTCACAGCGATCTACCTGCCTTTGTCTCCTGAGTGCTGGGATTAAAAGCCTAGGCCACTATGCCCTGCTCTTTACTTTTATTTTTAAAATATAATGACATCATTTTCCCTTTCCTCTCTCCAGCCCTTCACATGTACCCATCCTCCTTCCTCCCCCTCAAAATTGTGGCCTCTCTTTCTTTAATTGTTATTGTTTTACACACACAATTTGGTCAGTTCATTTTAGTATGTATATGATTTCAAGGCTGACTACTTGGTATTGGATAACCAATTGGGACTTTTTTATTAAATTAATTTTGTGTGTATAGCTGTTTGCCTGCATACATGTTTGTATACCATGTGTGCACAGTTCTCATGGAATTCAGAAGAGGACATAAGACCCCTGTATCTGGAGTTACAGACCACCATGTGGATGCTGGGAATCAAACCTGGGTCCTCTGGTAAAGCAGCCAGTGCCTTTAACTGCTGATCCATCTCTCCAGTTCCAGGGAGATATATATATTTCATGTGTGCATATGCCAGAGAGATCAGAGGACAATTTCAGGGATGAGTTCTCCTTCCCCTATGGGTTCTGGGGGATTGAACTCAGATTGTCAGACTTGTACAGTAAGAGCTTTTGCCCTCTGAACCATCTCACCAGCCCCAAGTGAACATTCTTAATGGAAAAATCTAAGTGGTTTTATGATCACTGTGTGAAATCTGAAAGCAGTGGTTGGGCCTGATGGTACTGGGAGGGTAGGGGTTAGGAGAATAAAGAGGAGAAAACTGGGTAAGATACATTGGAGTCTGATGTGGAAGATCTTAAATATCCTTCCAAGAAAAGCAAAAGCCATTAGAGGTTTGTGGTTTTGAAAAGCAGTGGAGGCAACCAAGGACACAATGGAGGCACACACTAGGTAGCTCAAGAGACTGAATAAAAGGCCACCCCAAAAGAGAGCTAGGGGTGTTTAGTGTAGAACTTCAGCAGGGCCAGTAGATTGGATGAGAGATGGAAAATCCAAGAAATATTTCCAAGACAACATCGTGGTAGCTTTTCTTCACATCTTACCTGTTTTTACTTCCATCTGGGCTCTCCCCTCTAGCCCATCTTGCTTTCCTTCCCAAGATATTTTCCCAGGTAAAATCTCGTTTCTCCACATAGGATGCAGTAACCAGCCTTTGCTTTGGCCGATATGGGCGAGAAGACAACACCCTCATCATGACCACTCGGGGTAAGGACTCATCTGGGAAGGATGGGGCAGGCCTGGAGTGAAGAGGATGGGATGTGGGGAAGGGCGTGGACAGAGAGAGGTGGACATGTCCTGTGTAGGGTTGGATCAGCTCATCAGCACTTGGATTTTTCTGCCTAAGAGCTAATCCTGGTTAGGCTGGTGCCTCGCCAGTTTACCCAGCACCCTCAGCACCCACCATAGCGCCAAGAACATCACAGTACTTCATAAACAGCTACTAGATATATGAATGGGTTAGTGATAGGAGACTGATGGAAGCCGCATGTGCTGTCACACACTGTAATAGCAGCACTTGGGAAGGTGGAGGCAGCTGAATGAGGAGGTCAAGGACGTGTTTTGACAGAGGGAATTCCAGGCTCTCCTAAGCTACATCAGTCCCTTCCTCAGGAGAAAAGCCAGACTTGAGATATTTCATTACTTCTAGCAAGTGAATCTCATCATAAAGACAGACATGTACGGGCATGAGTATAATTGTTTGGGAAGAAAGGGGATGTGGAGTAGGACAGGGTGAAGAAAATGGTTCCTTTGCCCACTTCTCAGGTGGTGGCCTGATCATCAAGATCCTGAAACGTACAGCAGTGTTTGTGGAAGGGACAGGTGAGACGGGCCCACCACTAGCACAGACCACAAAACTCAATGTGCCCCGAAAGACGCGGCTGTACGTGGATCAGACCTTGAGAGAGCGGGAAGCTGGCACAGGTAAGACTCAGAGAACACAGAGAATCCCATCCTTGAGCATGAGTGAGACCTTAGCCAACAGGGAGGTTTAGGTGTCAAGTAATGAACTAATCCTCAAGGCAGAGAGTGCTGTTAGTGACCTTCAGGGCCCTCAGCATTCAGAGCCAGCAGTTACTTCCAGATGCAGGACTTCTCAAGAGAAAAGGAGAAATTCACCAGGATTCTTCCTCTTGTTAAGTTTTCCAGCTCATCCATTCACTCGTTACCTGTGATGATAACCAGGCACACTGGGTGTCTTGAATTGGGCCATCCCCTATCTTGGGAGCTCAATCCATCTGGTCAACTTCATGTCTGGTATTAGATGGTTTCTCCCAAGGGCTGCTGGAGCACAAACCAGGGAGTGAAAACTGCTGCTGGGCATAATGATGGTGCTTGCCTTTAATCTCAGCACTTGGGAGGACGAGTCTGAGGCTAGGGAGAAGTTACACAGTAAGACCCTGTCTCAAAAATAAACCAAACAAAATACAACAAAACATGTAAATGAAACAATGGATAAAGGGAGTTAAGTTCTATTAGATGACCAGATATAAAAGTCTTAGAATCTCATAATCTTGGGCTGGAGAGATGGCTGCTCTTCCAGAGGACCCAGGTTTGATTACCAGCACCCACATAGTAGCTCACAACCATTTTAAGGCCTTTTTCAGTGGATCTGATGCTACCTTCTGGCCTCTACAGGCACTACACTCCTGTGCACATACCCACATGTAGGTATACCCATACACATTAAAAATAATAAAAATTGAAACACTTGGATGCTTTTTATATGTACCAATAATATCTGACTGACAAATATGGCAGAAAAAGTTCTGTTCGCAATAGCAAAGAGATCCCTAGAAAAAATATAATGAGAAAATGTACAAAGTCTAGTAAAGAAAATTATAAAACTATCATCATGATGGATGTGGTGGCACACACTTTTAATCCCAGCACTTGGGAGGTGGAAGATGGGACATCAAATTCATGATTAGCCTTGGCTACATAGTGAGATCCTGACTATAAAACAAGAGCAAAAGACAGCAACAAGGCAATTAGAGTGGGGGCTGTGGGGGCTTCAAATCTAGAAGCGGATTTGAAGCAGGGTCACCTGCGTCTGGCAGGTGGTTAGAGGTAAGAGATGAACCAAGGATACTTGGAGACAGGGGTGCAGTGGGTGGGACAGGTGCAGTGAGTGACTCAGGGTGAGGCTGGTTTCCATTGTGTTGAGCTTGGTGTGCATGGGGCCTCAGATGGAGATGACCATGGGGTAGTTCAAAGCTCAGGCAGGCCTGGGCACCCAGAAGCTGCAGGGACACACTACACAACAGTGTCTGAGCTCAGGCCTGGGCACCCAGAAGCTGCAGGGACACACTACACAACAGTGTCTGCACATCTGGAGCCGGGCTTGTGGATATGGGAACAAGTTTGAAGCCTTGAGCTGGGAGCTGATGTTCTTTAGGGTGGCCAGAGTCGGGGCAGGCCCTGAATAATCCAGAGAACAAGGTGGTGGGTGAGAAGACCAAAGCCAAGACCAGCCTTAAAATGGGGAACAGCAGTCTTGAAGGCTGGACAGAAGGAGCCAGGGGTGGAAACCAAGATGAGGAGGGAACAGGGTGTGGTGCACAGCCTCCAGTGTGGCCCTGCTATCCCTATGTCCCCAGCTTCTGCAGGCCTTGCCCCTGCCTGTCATCCCGCTATTCTCCATTCTTCTCACACAGTCTGAACAGCACTACTCTCCCTCCCACTGCTTCACTCGGCCTTCCTGTTCCCCCTGCAGCCATGCACCGAACCTTCCAGACAGACCTCTACCTGTTGCGCCTGCGGGCTGCCAGAGCCTATGTACAGGCCCTGGAGTCCAGCCTGAGCCCCATGTCAAGCACAGCTCGGGAGCCACTCAAGCTGCATGCTGTGGTAAGCACCAGGTGTGGGGACATTAGGGCAAGGGTGAGTGGGATCCTCCTGTGTAGTTGGTTTTACTCTTTACTCTTCTGAGGGCCCGCCACCTAGCTCCCAAGCAAACATAGAGAGTTTTTTCTTTCTTATGAATGCCGGCCTTAGCTTGGCTTGTTTCTATCCAGCTTTTCTTAAGTTAAATTATCCTGTCTACTTTTTGCCTCTGGGCTTTTATCTTTCTCTATTTTTGTATGCCTTTCTTTACTTTACCTATGGCTTGCTGTGTAGCTGGGTGACTGGTCCCTGGAGTCTTCCTTTCCTCCTTTTCTTGCTCCTTGACCCCCCCATTTCTCCTCCTATTTATTCTTTCTGCCTACCAGCCCCACCTATCCTTTCTCCTGCCTAGCTGTTGGTCATTCAGCTCTTTATTAGACTAATCAGGTGTTTTAGACAGGTGCAGTAACAAGCTTCACAGAGTTAAACAAATGCAACATAAAAGAATATAACACATCTTTGCATCATTAAACAACTGTCCCACAGTATATGCAATTGTAACACATCTTAAAATTATATTACACAGCTGGGCGGTGGTGGAACACGCCTTTAATCCCAGCACTTAGGAGGCAGAGGCAGGCAGATCTCTATTAGTTCGAGACTAGCCTGGTCTACAAGAGCTAGGTTCAGGACAGCCTCCAAAGCCACAGAGAAACCCTGTCTTGAAACTCTGCCCCCCTCCCAATTATATTCCACAAAACTCCTGCTGTATAGGTGAGCACCCAGAACCAATGCCAAGCCACCCAGCCTGTGCTCCCTTCTCACCTCCCCACAGATCTAGAGACTAAGGCTCTGTTTTCCTGAGAGGGTTCCTCTTACTTCCTATACTGTGTCTGAGGAGGGCTGCTCAGTCTTTTAAACTGTCCTCTCTGTGACTGGCTACAGAGGGGTACATACTCCCCTGTTCCATGCTGTACCTCAGATAAACCCCTGGGCTGGAGTGGGGTATAAGCACAAAGTAGTTACAATGGGACATCTTCCCAGGAATCTGGGAGGATTCTGTTGGCCACAGTTCAAGAAAGAGAGTGACTTTTGTTGGCATGGGTAGCCTAAGGGAACAGGACTGACTGACTGGTACAGGGAAGAGTTGCTGTGACCTGACCCTAGGTGCCCTGGGCATGTACACACACAGACACACAGACAGACAGACACACATACACACAGAGACCCATGCATACAGACACATATAGGTAGACATACAGACACACAAAAAGACACACAGACACAAAGACACACATGTAGACACAGACACATACAGATAAACACACACAAACAGACACAGACACACAGACACACAGACACACACACACACACACACAC